ACCCGGGCCTGCAGCCCCTCGCGCCTTCGGGGCCGCGCGCCTCGGACGCGCGATCCCCGGCCCGGGCGCGCGCCCTCGCGCGTTCCCACTCTGCGCGCCTCCGTGCACAGAGTCCGCCTCCTGGGCGCTTCACCGGCCTCCTCCGGCGCAAGGCACGCGTGTAGTTCGAGCCCGCTGACTCCCGAGGAGCGCAGGACCGCGAAGGGTGCGCACAGGCCCTCTTCCACTTACGCGGGCGCCCGGCACCCCGAAACTTAGCGACAGCCCGGCCCATGAGCTGGAACCAGAGCCCAGAGGAGGAGGCTTGGAGGCAAGGACAGTGGCCCTCTCCCGCAAGGCCTGGTGGAGCTGTGACGAAGGACAAGAGTCTCTTTTGTTGTGTAGAAGGTTTGTGGGGTTTTTTTTAGTCTGTTTGCCTTGAACAGAGTGGAGTCCCTTTCTTTGTGATCTCAGGGACTAGACAGCAGTGGCAGGGCACGGGTGCAAAAGAGAGAAGAAGCTGGGGAATGTGATGGCAGCGGTGGTGAGCCGACCACACTGGTGCCCGGGACGCTGCTGCAGCCTGCCCTGATGGCGTGCTGGTCTTACAGGGCCGGGGCCTCCCCGCTGCCTGTCCTGCACTCTGGGAGGAAGCAGCAGAGAAGGGTCTCAGGCACCAAGTAGGACGAGCTCTGGAAACCCTGCTTTCCACGTTCACATGGATTCATGCCCTCCTTTGTTTTATGATCAGAATCACAGTTTTGGAGCCGGGGCTGGTGCTGGTATTGGGGTTGGTGGTTTGGCAGCAGTCTGTACCTGTGCCACAGAGGGTCGTTTACTGGCTGAGGTGTGGCACAAGCCCTATCATGGACAGGAGCCTGTGGATCGTCGTGTAATAAGGCAAATCAACTTTTATAGGCCTAGTGCTTAGCAAGCACCTACTCTTTGCGCACTGTGCAATAGTTACAGATGAGTGACCAAGACCGTGGGAAGGTGAACAGATGTGACCCAGATCACACAGCAATGCAAAATGGAGCAGGAGGCAAACCCAGGTCTCTGTCTGACTCAGAATCTCCACCAAATCCTGCCTTGCTGAGCAGAGAACGCTCTTGCTGGCAGTGGCCTCTGGATGCACTGGAGAAGATACACAGCTTCTCTGCCTTGCCCACCATGTGTTCCTGCTCTCACACAAGAATTTCTGTCACAGATCCTCCGCAAGACACTAGTTTCACATCAAAAAGGCCTACGTAGGAGCATCCCACTGCCTTCCATTGGGGATGCCTACCTCGTTTTTCTGTCAAAAACATACTCACTGGGACCCCACTGCACACTGTGGCTAGGCCCAAGGAAGAGGGGGCAAAGAAAGACACAATCCCTGTGCTCCTAGAGTTGATATTCAAGGGAGAAAGATAAACAATTGACCCTAAAGTTAATAAAAGGGTCATGAAATTGTTCCTATAATATTAGAGAAAGGAGAGCCATGATACAAGAAAAGTCTGTAATAAAGTAACTGGATTCAGTCAGAGAGATCAGTGAGGCTTCTCAGAAAAAAAAAAAAAATGACTCAAACTCAGAAGGTTCAGATGAAGTGAAGGGAAAGAGTCATCCCATTATTTGACCACCGTAAGATCCCTGCACCTAGTTAGCTATCACCATTGAGTGTTGTCACTTCATACTGGAGGAAACTGAGGCACAGATGGTAAAATAATTTACTCAACATCACCCAGCAATGTTGTGGAAGCAGAAATGGAACCCAAGCAGTCTCCCATGAAAATTAGACTTTAGGTCTGCTACACTCAGCCTGTAAGCTCTATGGACTTGCAAAAGCTTAGCATAAGCAGAGCATCCAAGTGAGAAGAGAATTACATTGGAGGAAGGATCATGAAGGGAAACCAGGCAGGTGGAGGGTGAGGTGCTGTTGAGACCTCCAAGAAGAGACCTCAAGTCGGCAATTGGTTATGGGGGTCTGGAGTTTGTGACATCTTGTCAGAAAGAAAAATGAGTTCTTTATTTGTTTCTAGGCATATGCAATGATAGAACTACAGAAAGCAAAGGAAGAAAGAACTGAGGAAAGGACCTTTTAAAAATTCCGACAGTTGATGGTTAAGTAGAACACAGCATCATGTGGAAGGAAAATAGGAACAGCAGAGAGAAAATGAAAAGCCTTAAGGTTTATCAAAAAAAATTTAATGTATTTACTACAGGATCTTACTGTGTGGATCAGACTCGTAGTGATTCTCCTGTTTTCAGCATTGGGATTACAGGCTGCGCCACCACGCCCAGTCTCATTCACTGTCTCAGAGTGGGGAGGGGGGACCAACACAGCAGGCTGGAGGTTGAACCCTTGGTCTTCCTAAGCAGGCGCTTTAATCCGATGAGCTATCTGGCTGGACCTTCAAAATTTTCTTTTGTGGAGGTCACTGAGACTTCAGCAAGAAAGCCAGAATGGAATTGTGAAGGAGTGGATAAAGCTAATGAATGAGGAGCAGAGTCACCTCTTTAGGAGGTGTTTGGCCTCAAAGAGGAGGAGAGCTCATTAGCTGAAGGATCATGGGGGCCGGGATGGTTGCTTGTTCTTTATTGGTTGAATGGTTTTTGAGATTTGAGGTTTTTTTTTTTAATGTCTTGAAAAGATCCAAATGATTTAATATTCGACCTAATCAAAGTTGACTATTAAGAAAAACCTTATCCTAGAGGACTTTGAGAGAATTAACAAACTAGATTTCAAGACATAAAACAGAAATAACTCATCAGGCAAATAGGTACAAATGTAGATCACTGCAAGTTTCATTTCTAGAACACAAGAAAATTCCCATCTATGGTTATTATTTTCCCAAAAGAAGAAAAGTCCAGAATGTCTGCTAAGAGTTGTGGAGAAAGCAGAAAGCTCAGTGATTTGACAGAAAAAAAGAGATCTTGCTTTGCTTTAGTGGGGTTTTTATTGCCCTCTTGTGTCTGTAAAAGAATGAATTGTTACTACCTAAAGTCCAATCGATGTTGATCATCAGAAATCTAATGAGATTAAGCTGATTGTCCTGTGATTTTCTCCAACAGTGCTCAGTTTCATGGCTGTGGGCACAGAGGAAGCACAGGAGGAGTCTTTCCAACTGGATGCAGCAGAGACCAGAAGATAATGCGTAATGGAAAATAATGTCCAACATAAACACTTATATGTAGCAAAAGTATTAACCGAACATAGACTTAAAACTTATAGTTAGGTATAAGAGATCTCAAAAAATTTGTTAGTCTTATACTGCGCCTAAGATGCCTACCATACGTTGTATACCATAAAAAATAAGACTTAAATGAAAACATACAAGGGAAAGCAAAAGAATTGGCATATGATAAAGACAAAGGGACTGTGAGGGGTTTTCCCCCTCTTGGTGCAAATGAAAGACAGGAGAAAAATATAAGGGTCCTTTATTGCTCAGCGCAGGAGAGCTGCTTGATGGGGAGCAGGGGACCCGCAGAGGATGGAGCTTTGAGGGAGAATCAGGTCAGACTAGAGGTGGGGTTCTCATGGGTAGGCAAAGTGTTGTCAGGAGAGGATTGGAGGGTCATTGGCACATGTGCAAAAAGGAAGCATTATTTTGGAACTATAAGAATACACAAGTTGGTCCAGAAGTGACATGTTACTGTTTTGGGACCCAAAGCCATGTTGGATCACCTGCTATAATGACGCTGACAGAGTTTATGCAGGCAGAAACATGACTGTGTAAGAAGAACTTGGATTAGAATAGGTCAGAAGTTTCAGGGTTGAGACTTCTTGTATATTAAATAGAATTCTTAATATATGTGAACATATTCAAAGGAGACTGAGATAGTTGGTGAAGCCTTTGGGGTTAGGTTAGTGATAGAACGGGCTAAGGATATTGTTCAACACTAACTAGCTTATGTAGCGTGCAGGAGGCCTGTGGTTCTATCCCTAGCACTGTAAAATTTTAAAATAATAAATGGATAGAGAGCCAGCAGTTGGTTCATAGAAAACTATGGGGTTTTGTTTTGTTTTATTTGGCAGAACCAGGGATTGAATTCAGGCCCTTGTACTTGCTAGGCAAGCACTTACTCTACTGAGCTATATGCCACACAAAAAATGGTGATTGGGGGCCGGGGAGTTAGCTCAGTAGAATAAGTGCTTGCCTGGCAAGCACAAGGGCCTGAGTTCAATCCCTGGTTCCGCAAAAAAAAAAAATGGTGATTGTCAACTCCAAGCATAGCAAAGGCAAAATAATCAGTGTGTAACATAGTTTAGCTGTAGTGAGTATTTATATAGTTATCAGAATGTAAACCGTTAATATTGAGCCAACCCACACAATACAACTAGATTATACTGAGTGTGAACATTTGTGAAGCTTTGTATGTGCAAGGGGTCAATGATTTAAAAATCAAGAAACCTAATCCCTGAGGGAGTACTAGTACATGATGCTAAACTCTTTAGAAATAAGGCAGTAGCAACATACACATGTTATTTGGAGATACAAAAGTAAAAATAGCACCAAGCAAAAAGTTTTGGAAGTGTTTTCCTGTAGAAACAGGAAGTGGGGGGAAGGCATACGATACTTTTGTTTTTTATATGACTCTTCCAAAACAGTTTGATTCTTTAAACCATATGGGTGCATAACTTTAATTTTTAGAAAAGAAGTAAAATAA